TCCTCTAAAAGACACACACACACACACACACACACGCTCTCTAGTTCCCTATCAACTTCTCTGTTTCTGAGCACCCTGCGCCTTGAATTCAATGAGTTCCACCTGCTCTGCCTCCCAAGTGCTGGAATGAAAGGTGTGCACCACCACCATCTGGCTAGGCTTGAGGATCTGTACTTGCTACAGGTAGAAACCAACAAGCCCCAAAGATCAGAGGAGCCTGATAACATTAAGACTCAAAGGCAGGGGCTGGAGAGATGGCTCAGCAGTTAAGAGCACTGGCCGCTCTTCTAGAAGTCCTGGTTTCAATTCCCAGCACCCACATGGCAGCTCACAACTATCTGTAACTGCAGTTCCAGATCTGACACCCTCACACAGACAAGCATACGGGCAAAAAGCCAATATAATCAAATACAAAAAAAAAAAAAAAAAAAAAAAAAAAAAAAAGACTTGCCAGGCAGTGGTGGTGCACACCTGTAATCCCAGCACTCGGGAGGCAGAGGCAGGTGGATCTCTAAATTCGAGGCCAGCCTGGTCTATAGAGCTTGTTCTAGGACAGCCAAAGCTGTCTTGGAAAAAAAAAAATTTTTAAAAATAGACTGAAAGGGCATCATGCATCAAAGAAACTTCCGTTAACTCAGTGATTCATGTCTTTTGTGATCTTCAGGCTAGAATAATTTCCTGTTTCAAAGGGCCTGCTTTAAAAAGTGAAAACACAGGACAGCCAGGGCTACAAATCAAAACCTGTCTTAAAAAACAAAGTGAAAACACAAAAAACACAACCTACCCTGTGCAAAGCCAGGCTTTTGTGGGCCTATCTGCTCAATTTTTCTTTCACATAACAATGTTGGCAGAGGGTTCTAGGCATTCTGACGTCTGGCTGGTGTCCTGTCAGCTCTACTCAAGGAGGCTGCGTTTACCATGTCCTCAGCAGCAGAACCGCCTTCAGCTGAGTGAGGATGAGGGAGGCCTTATTCCTAGCTTAGTTACCTAGGGACAGCAAAAAACGTCCCAAAACTTCTTCTTCAGGTAGCCTTTTACTGTGTGCCATCTCCACATCAGCCTGATGAGGCAGATAGCGTTATGCCCCTTCACAGATATGAAAACCAAGGCTAAGAGACCAGAAACCCATAATAACTTTATATAGTTAATCAGTACTTAATGTGGAACCAAAATTCAGACCGGTGACCTTGAAGTCCATGTCATTAATAACTTTGCTGTTTCCTCATGCCATTGTCTCCAGACACCTGAGTAGCAGGTGTTTAGGTCCCCTTGATCCTCCCTGTCCAGTTGGCTTTCTCTTGGCTTTTTGGGGCATTGTTTTAAAGCAAGTCAGCCATGAGGGCTCCGAAACTGAGGCCACTTGTCTGTCTCAGCTTCCCCTGGAATCTAAACCTTCCTTTGTGGTAGAGAATCACTTAGGCCTATAGTGCCTTTGGGAAACTTTAAAATAGGTGCTTCCTGGCCTGTGAAAGCAGTTGCTCTTGAGACCCAGGGCTCTCACCGTAGCTGTGCTGCCATCTGAGATGACAGTTTCCATGACCTGCAGTAACTTTAAGGTGCTCAGAACCTTCATTGCTGGGTCATTTTAGGATGGAAGATGCAAGCTACATTCCATAGACACGGGGTTGAGGCTCAAAGATGTCAGATGTCAGGGGTTGGTAAAGCGGGCTTGCCCTGCAAGCACAAGGAAGAGTTTAAATTCTATACAAACACTTACAAAACCGGGCAAGGCTATATGTACTCGTGTAACCTCAGTGCTGTGAGGGGCAGACACAGGAGGCTCACTGTGACACTAGCCACCAGCCCAGCTCCAGTTTCAGAGATCCCAGTCAAGGAAATAAAGGGTAATGTGACAGAGTGGAGTGCCTGACATCATCCTCTACACACACACACACACACACACACACACACACACACGAGCATGCATTCTCCCCTACACACACCTGTGTACATACCACATACACTCACACATGCACAATAGTTGTCAAGTTTATCTGTATTTCTGTAACAAGAGTGCTACAATTATTATTAACCCTTTCAGCCAGGTGTTGGTGAGGCACACCTTTAATCCCAGCACTCAGGAGGCAGAGGCAGGTGGATCTCTGTGAGTTCAAGGCCAGCCTGGTCTACAGAGTGAGTTCCAGGACAGGCTCTAAATCTACAAGAAACCCTGTCTGGGGGAAGGGGGGGTTTACTCAGAGCATTTCCAGGATCCAGTGTCCTGGCTACGTGGGGTCATAGTGGTTTGTGAGGGTTCCTTAGAAAACAGTAGTTTCCCTACTCTGAGGCTACCATGGACTAACTTGTAGGTATGGATCTAGGAAGCTACAGCCTCGGCAGCAGATGAAAACAGGGCGGGTCTGTGTTTAGAGAAGAGGCTGTTTCTATGCTGCTGCTGCTGGTGGTGGTGGTGGTGGTGGTGGTGGTGGTGGTTTTGAGCCAGAGTCTCACTCTGTAGCCCTAACTGGCACAGAACTCACTGCCCAAACACAGTGACCTCAAATTCACAGAGCTGTGTCTGTCTCTGCCTCCCCAGTGCTAGAATTGAAAGTGTGTGCCTTTACACTCACCTGGAATAGTTTGAAAGGGAGTCTGAGCTCAGCCTGGTGACACAGGCTTGTAATCCCAGCTACTCAGGTGTCTGAGGCAGGGTATTGCAAGCCAAGACATGAGCTACAGAGAAGGGTCTCGGCCTAGGAGAGGCCACTGGGGTTGGCAGGAAGCCAGATGCATAGGTTGCATGTGCATTGGGAGATTGCTGTCTGTCCAAGTGCTACCTTAGCTGTGACCCAGGCCAGGAGTGAGGCTCAAATAAGAGGTACACTAGAAGTGTTCGCATACAGCAAGGGAGTGTGCTCGGCCCAGACCTGAGAATGTCTTCTTCCGTTAGAAGTGAGCAGGAGACAGCAGAACCTACATGAAGTGACAGGCTTCGTGCCCTGCTCTGACCTGGCAACAATAGACAGTGACCCAGAAAGCTCCTAGACTGAGGCTCCGGGTGCAGTTGGAGATACAGCCTTCTCTTCCTGTGCTCAGCTTTCTTTAGCAACTGGCTTGAGTGTGATTTTGTCATTTGGTACCTGACTCCCCTCAGGGAAGACTCAACCCAAGATGTTACATTCTAGGCACTGCTGGGACTGCCCAGGGTTAGGACTTAAGAAAGCATACATTGAGCGTTGGGGGCACACGCCTTTAAACCCTTCACTCGGGAGGCAGAGGCAGGAGGAGCTCTGTGAGTTTGAGGCCAGCCTGCTCTACAGAGCTAGTTCTAGGACAGCCTCCAAAGCAATACAGAGAAACCCTGTCTCAAAAAAACCAAAAGAAGAAAAAGAAAAAAAAATAGAGAGAAAAGAAAAAACAAAAAACATATATTACTGTTTTGCCTGTCTCCTAGGGACTGGCACCATCTTGAAGGAATTTTGCCCCCCCCTTTTTTTTTTTTTTTTTTTTTTTTGGTCTTGAACCAAGACCTTGGCTGTAGCTGTCCCGGCTATGAATGCTGCCCACAAGCACAAGAGGACTGGGTGGCCTGCCCTTGCTGGGTAGCAGTCCCCTTGAAACCCACGCTGGGAGAGCCTTCCCATCAGAGCGCAGCCCCGCTCAGCTCGCTCAGCTCTTCCGTCACCTCGGGGACGTGGGCAGGCAGGGGCACTTGCTCCCTAGTAAAGTCTGCCCCACATGCATTTGGTCTGGAAAGGAAAACAGTCCACAGGCAGCCTTCTGCCCCTCAGGAGCCCAGCCTCGGCCCCACGGTGTGTGTGTGTGATTGGCTCCCTTTGCCTCCTGCCTTCTGTCAGGACCAAGTCCCTCACACTTACCTCCAGGTTCACTGATGAACAAGGGTTTCCTTGCTGTCACGGCCTTCCTGCGAATCAGATGCCTGCACACAGAGGTTAGCAGAGTGAGCAGCCACTGCCCTCCCCTGACCCTTCTTTCCTGCCCTGTCCACTTCAGCTAGCTTGGTATAGTGCCTCCCCCCCCCCCCACTGCCCTACCTTGCCTTTGTTTGAGTCAGGGTCTTAGACATTGAAGTCACACCAAGCTTGACTGGCAGTGCTTTTACTATTAACTGCAAATATCCAAGATTCCCAAGGTCAGTTGAATTTTGAATCCTCAACTATAAGGAGTCAGGTCAGGTGTGGTGGCTGACACTTCAGAAAGTAGCATAAGGAGATGAAGAGTTAGACCAAACTGAGCTATATAGCTGGCCTAAACTATATAACAAGATCCTGTCTCAAAAAAAAAAAAAAAAAAAAAAAAAAAAAAAAAGTTGGGGGCTAGAGAGACAGCTCAGCTTTTAAGAACACTGACTGCTCTTCTAGAGGACCCGGGTTCAATTCCCAGCACCCACATGGCAGCTCATAACTATAACACCAGTTCCAGTTTATGCACATAAAATAAAGTTAAATACATTTTTTAAAAAATCATAGAAGCATTGTTGAGATGCCCCATCAGAATAGTGGTGGCTCATTCTTGAAAGTGTTCACTGTACTTCAATGCTTGCTTGAATGCCCACAAGTTTGCTCCAAGAGATGGAGATGAAGGCTGGGTTGGCACTGAGATGAAAACAACGGCAGATGGTACTGGGAACATCCCAGGACTGAAGAAATATGGTTTCCAGAAAGGGAGACTTTGGCAGAAAGCTCTGCCCAGCACCTGGGACAACCTGGCTAGAGGAGGCCTCATTCGGGGGCTAAGGATACTGGCCCTGTCAGCGACCCGGTGATTATAGCCACGGTATACAGCCTGGGTGTCCAGGCTGGGCTGATCAGAAAAGGCAGGGAATACAGGAGATTCAGAAGTGATCCCAGAAGGTGGGCATGGTGGTGCATGCCTATAATCTCAGCCTCGGCTACATGAGACCCTATCAAAAAGGAAGAAGGGTTTGGTGGGGAGGGGCCTCATAAACAGAAGAATTGCTCCCGCCATCCTGCCTCCTTGCTTTATATGAACATTCTTGCCAGGGACTGAGACCCAGCTGGGCTCTTGACTTTCCTCAGGTACTAGAGGTGGTGCGAGCCAACTATGACACACTCACATTGAAACTGCAAGATGGCCTGGACCAGTATGAGCGCTACTCCGAGCAACACAAGGAAGCTGCCTTCTTCAAAGAGCTGGTGAGTGTCCCAGCCCCAGCACCGCGTGTGTCTAGAGGGCTCATTTCCAGATCCTGGGGTCTGCTGTCTATCTAGGATACAAGTGCAGAAACTAAAGAAAACAGGGGTTTGGTATGCAACTTCTCTACTAAAGTGTTTTGAAATGAGGCAGCAAGAGGCACATACTCCCCAGCCAGCCAGCATTACCCACCTCGTCTGCAGCCAGAGACAGCCTTGCACAGCTGCAGCCGGGCCTGAGGTCTGGCATGTCGGCCAGTGATGCGGTGCCTCTTCTCAGAACAACTCACGAGAGTAACTGACCCTTCTGCAGACACACCTTCCTCACTCTCCAACCGGCTCTTGGCCCGAGAGCCCCTACTCTAGTTCCCCAGTCTCCACTCCTGTTTCTCAACCACCCAATGTCCCCAGCCCCTCCCAGGCATGGCTCCCAGCTGGCCTCTCCCTTTGGTTTTCCCCTGCCTGTTCTGTACTCAGAGCTGTCCAGGAAAGGCTCTGCCTCCCTGTAGCTGTGCTGCGTGCTCGGTTGACACAAAGGCTCTAAACCCTCGCAGCAGGCTTTCATCAGCAAAGCTTTTATTTAACGTACCAAGTCTGTGGTGAAGGTGCTAGAGTCAGGTCATCATAGCCCAACTCTGACCCTGACGTGACCTCTGGACTCTTCTGTGGCAAGTTAGCTGTGTAAAGAGAGACACTGGGTACAGTATGTTTAACAAGGTGAATGGGTGTCTGCCAGTGCTAGGCATACAGGCAGGAGCTGTCACGAGGCTCTTTGGCACAGCCTGTCACAGGGGAGGGAAAGTCTGGTCCACTTAGGAGCCTGACATTGGCCCTGCTGCCCCTTCCCCTGATGACTACTTCCTGCCTGATGACTCCACTTAGTTTCTAAGAGCTAAGAAGAGAGGAAAGAAAAGCTCCCTGGCCTCTGAGGACTGAGACAGACAGCACATTCTCTCCCTCCTGGCTGGGTTGTTCCTCACAAAAATACAGACGTTTCCGTGGACAAGCCTCCTCGCAGAGGCTGCTAAATTCCTCATAAAGCTGTCTAGAGTTGGGAGTTGATCTCCCAGCCCTCTCCACAGGTCTTTCTCCTGCCAGCACAGTGAACTTAGCCCAGTGCGCGCTTCAGACGCTGCTCTCTGCCGTTTGTGATGGTCTGTTTTCTTGCCTCTGCCCTCCCGCCTTCCCTGACCCTTCCCAGGTTCGATCCATTAGTACCAACGTCCGGAGGAACCTGGCCTTCCACACACTCAGCCAGGAAGCCCTCCTGAAGGAATTCTCCACCATCTCCTGAGGCTGCACCTCCTGAGAGCCACTGACTGCCCTTACCATGAGGCTCCTGGGCTGGAGGGCAAGCACAGGGACAGGGGACTGCCTTCAAGGTTGGAGAGACGCACAGACACCGAGAGTCTTGGTGAAGGCCATGCTTCAGCGAGCTGGGGCAAGCCCAGGGTTATTTAGGGAGAAATGGGCGGGCAGCAGGAAAGGCATGTGGGGCTCTGGGCTGCATTTGCTGGGTACTGCCTCATGATCCTTCTGGCTTCTGATTCTTGAGGTGCTGGTGGGGCAGGCCTCAGCTGAGCCAACACTCCGAAGGCCAGTCAGTGGCTGCTGTTGGCTGCGATGCCACATCCGGGAGCTGAGCGAGGCCCCTGCCCCTGCTGCAGTCCTTGGTACTTCTGCCCAGACTAGAGTAGGTCAGAGAAATGGAGATTGGAATCACCTGGTGCCCTGCTGGCTGGCCTCTACTCTCTGGAGTTTGGTTCTGGCACCAGGAGCACCTGTCCACTCTCCCCGGCCTTCCAGCCATTGACTCATCAGCACAATAGGCCCACAACTTTAGCCTTTCATTTTCAGTCTGTTTTAAACTGTCTTAAGAGAGTGTGTGTGAAATAAACATTGACAGGTTTTCTGGAGCCCTCAAGGTGCCTACTTTGCTGGTTCCCTTTCCAGCAGCCCTCCCCCCCCCCTCCAATGGGAGCCTGGATGAGCTGTTGAACACCCTCACCCTGCTGTTGTTTACATTCAGCCTGCCTAAGAATTTCCCCAGGGAGGAATCTGTTCCTGCTGTGGGCTGCTGCTGAGAGGGGGGCCTGCTGGGGTTAGGGTGCTGTTTGTGGAGTGGGCTAGGTGAGCGGCATCCTAGGGCCTCCATCTTGTCTGGCCATATTCCCGCTGGGCTTGGGCACATCTGACCTTCATGGAGTTGGTCCGTGCAGTCCGTCTTTTTTATAGTCTCCATGGAAACCTGTATGGCTTCCCCTTCCCCACAGCTGCCCCTGAAATAGCTGTTCCTCTAAGGTCCCCAACCTAAAGCTATGTAGGTGGCCAGATGGCAGGAGCAGGTGGTACAGGGGGACCAGAGGGGGCTGAGGAGGTCTGGGGCTTTCGGAGCCCCGTCCACGTAGTATCCATCTCTTTGGGAAACTTGCCCTTCCTGGAAGCCAGAGTTCTGATTGAGCAGAAGTGTACTAGTTCTAGAGAATTCCTCAACAAATCGATGTGCATAGATGTAGAATCTTAAGCCATTGTGGGCTGGGCTGTCTGATCACTGGTCACTAGATGGATAATTTGACCCGAGGGTTTTAGTGTTTCCCATGGTGATAAACCCCAGAGCAGCTGGATCTAGAGCTGGTGGCAAATCAAAGCTATTAAAAATTGACTTGTGTGGGACAGTCTCTTTAGCGTCTTTTTCCCCCTTCATCTCTTGAAAGTCATCCAGGGGTTGGTCCTGCGTGCTAAGGGGACCTTTCCTTAAGACTTGCCTCCTCTGAGTCTCCCAGACCAGATGGAGGCCGGCTGAGTTCAGGAAACTGTGGCTGCCTTCACCTCTGGGTGTTGAAGAGGGTAGTGTAATGGGCAGGTCCTTTGGATGCCTTCTGAGTTTCTTCCAGCCTTTCCTATAGAGGTACAAGGGCCAGTCTAGGGCTGTTAGGATAAAGCGCAAGAGGAACATTGGTGGATTCCATGGCAGGCTACAGTGACTGAGGTGGAGGGACAACCGTGCCAGGCAGAGAGATTAAGAAGTTTTATTAGAAAGGGGAGGGGGGGAGGAAAAAGAAAAGGAGTAAAGAGACAGAGACAGAGAGGACAGAAGAGAGACAGGAAAAGTCCTGTCTGCCCCAGGGGAAGGGGGGGGGTGTGAGAGCAGGAAAGAGAGGAACAGGCAGAGAGCGAGAAAAGAGGACTTAAGTGGGTGGAAGGTCTTTCTTTTCAAGGGGTCTTTTGCACCTGAGCTGACCAGGGTACTGCCTGAGTGCATTCTGCCAGGTGACAGGCAGGCCAGCATAATACCTGAATCCTTACAAGGACTAGGAATCCTATGAACGTAGTCTGTGCCTGCGCTGTCTCTCCCCATCTTACAACCCTGCTTCTTGGCTGCTTCCTTCGTGTACACCTAAGACCTTCAACCTGGAGGCCACATCCTCTCCTAGAACTCAGCATGGCTGATCCTTCTGTGGGTTCTAGAGGTTTCTGAGAGTGTTCCTGCGAAGGGCAAGTCCCTTTACAGCAGCTGCCTGTCTCAATTTCATACAAGAACATTTCAGTGACTCAGGTGTTTGGAAAGTAGACTACCTGCATTGAGGAACTTTAGCTGAGGCTTTCGGTCTCACAGGCCTGGGGGAGGCGCGGGAGTTGGAGGGAGCCCTGTGCAGTATAGCCCAGCCTTTAGAAAAGGAAGTATCATGAGGGGAACATCTCTTCCCCTCTGGATCCTCACCCGGATGCCCAGACCTTTCAGAAGCTCTCTAAATCTGCTGGAAAACAAAGATTCACAGGTGGCAGAGAGGAAGAGACAGAAAAGTTGAGAGGACAAAGGAAGGCGGGAGCCATGAAGACTTGAGACTGACCTGGTTTACTACTTCCCTTTTCCTTCCTTACCTTTCCGGTTGACTGGGGGTGGGTGGGAGGTGGGGGTCATCAGAGCAGGGCAGAGGGCATTATGAAAGTGAGGCCCCTGCTGGAACTTGAGAGAGATGCCTAATGCCACCAGTGAGCCTGTGTCCAGAGGCTGAGCTGTGTCCAGAGGCCGAGTTGGCTTCGCATCCCCACAGCGCAAGAGGAGGGTGGCAGCTGGTTGGGAACACAGGAGGAACAACGAGGAAATAAGGCTGGCATGAAGACAGGAGGGAACAGGGTCTCTCTCAGACGCACCCTAGGCTCTGGCCCTACTGGGCAGCACTGACTGACTGGGGGGAAGGGGTGCCTGGATTGGGCGCCCGCAGTTTAGTGGGTGGTGAGCTGGAGAGCTAGTCTCCCGGCACTTTCCAGTTCACCCTTTCACCGGGTGCCTCCTCCGAGAAGCAGAGGGTGGGGGGCGGGGGTAGGGGGAGCCAATCCCGGCAGCTCCTAAGGGGGGAGGCGGCGGTGACAGCCGCGGGGAGGGGGCGGAGGAGAGGCGGCTGGGCTCCAGCTCGGCTCTCTGCTCCACTCTGCCTCCCGCTCCGCGCCACCTTGCTGTCCAAGCCTCCCGCTCCTGCCCCGGGACCCCGCGGTGGGTCCTAAAAACCCAGCGAGTTCCCAGACAAAAGCTCTGTCGGCCCCTAGTCCCGGCCCCCGGCCCCGGCAGGTCGCTGCGCCGCCAGGGGGCGCCGTGTGAGCTCCTGTCCCGGCCACCCGGCGCCCCCTCCCACGGCCCGGGCGGGAGCGGGGCGCCGGGGGCCATGCGGGGCCAAGGCCGGAAGGAGAGTTTGTCCGAATCCCGAGATCTGGACGGCTCCTACGACCAGCTTACGGGTGAGTCGGTGGCTCAGGGGTCCTGGGCGGGTGGGTGGACTCCATCCCCCTAGACCCTTCCGCCCCGCTGACCCTGGCTCGGCCCCTACCCACACTCTGCCCCGTTCACATGCACCTTCCAGGCTGGTCTGGGCAGCAAGACCCTGGCATTCAAAGCTTAGGCTCCGGGTTTGGGTGGGGGGCGGTGAGGAAGAGCAGGTGAAGCAGGTGTGGAGAGGCAGCAGGTGTAGGCGTGTGTGACACCGGGCTAGGAGTGTGTCTGGAGTGGGAGGTGTTACGTGTGTGAGCACCTGTCATTTTGTGTGTCTGTGTATGTATGTGTGCGCCTCCCACAGCTAGTTGCCATGTGCCCGAGCTTTGGTGACAGCTAGGGTGAGTGTGGTTGCATGAGGCACAGCGATTTCATGGTCTTCCAGGTGTTTGAGTGTGGTTGCGCAGGACCCCGGCTGCACTAGTCAAGTTGTTCTGACCGTGTGTCTGTTCAACTGTGAGCTTTGAATGATTCTGTATGAAGTGGCATGTAATTACCAGAGTGCACCAAGGTGTCACTTACAAGACTTCTGGGATGAACACTCATTAAACGTGTTTGTGGCTGTGGGGCTTTAGGTTGTTTAGCGTTTGGTGCTGTGTACTCCCATGCATGGCTCCTGTGGTGGGGGCTCTGTGAGTGTGCACCATTTCTGCCTTCATTGCTTCTCTGTCTTTCTGGTGTTGGTGAGGATCTTTAGTGTCCCACACTAGCTCCCTCCATTTTTCTGCAAATAGCTCAAGGACACACAAGGGATCTTAGGGACCAAACACCCAAACAGCCTGGCTTGCAGAAGCATCCTGTGGTTCCAGCACCTGGGCCCTGCAGAGAGCCTTTGGTTAGTGCTGGGTTAATTCTCACCCAGGAGAATAACTACTGAGATCATCATCGACACGTGAAGCTCCTTTAGTCACCAACAACTCCTTTAGAACTTCGTCCAGATGTCACCTTCTCGCTCTCCTTCAGAGCCAGAGGTAGAAGTCGTGGGTCTGTGAAGTTCAGTATGGCTGCCCTCATGCCCTCCAGAACAAACCACTGTGGGAGGGTCTGTCTGTGAGACCGGGCACATCTGTGTTCCTGTAGAGCCCTGAATTTGTTGGTAGACATGTGTTTATGGAAATGACTTTGTCACCTTTGTGTACGCATGTGCTGTGCGTGTTCCATTGTACAGTCTCCCTAAGAACTGCAACCCAGAGTAGGAGGGAGGCTGTCTCTCTAAGAGCGAAACAGCTAGCAAGTGGGGATGACCATAGTCCTTGCCCTTCCTTAGTGGAGTCAGGATTATCAGACCTGGGAAGCAGGGAAGGGGCCAGGATGCCGGGCTTTGAGGGTGAATCTCTGCTACTGACTTAGGCACCACACTGCAATGTCAAGACACCCAGAAGGAAGAATGTTCACCATGTGAAATCAGGGGGCCCTGCTATCCAGTTCTACTCTCTACCCACTGGCAACTTAAGATCTTGAAAGCAGTAAGGGTCCAGGGGCTCTAGTTCACATGCTACGAGTCAGCTTCCTTCCCGCCCTGACGACTCCCCCTTAGTGACACGATCTTGCTGGGCTACGTGATTGACTTATTTTTAATTAACTTATTGTTAATTAAATGGTGTTTTGCTACATAGTCCTGGCTTTGAATTCACTCACTATGTAGCTCAGGCTGGACCCAAACTTCAAGCTCTCCTGCCTCAGTTTCCCAGGGAGTCAGACTCACAGTGTGTACCATCATGCCCTGCTATCCTATCGATTCAAAGTGGGGCAGGATTTGGTGAGGTTGGAGAGGCACTCCTGTTTGAAAGTACGCTGCTTCATCACAGTCAGGAATGGAAGTATATCAATTAGATCAGTCAGGAAAGGAAGTATATCAATTAGATGACTTCTATTGTCTTGGCTTCATGTCCCCTACCTGTAAAATAGGGCATCTGCTGTGTGCATCCTCCTGGCTGCTGACAGGCTTCCATAGGAAATAAGAGGGTCCAGCACCTATAATCATGATTGGTCATCAGCGCCCTCGCTGTAGGTATCGCCACACGTGACTAGAAAAAAGGCCTCATTGCGGAAGAGGGTCTTAGCTTGTGACCGGAGCCTGCTGGTTGGATCCCAAAGGGGAGCCGTTGTCCACGGTGCTGAAGCGTGCTCCAGCCCTCCCCTTCCCAATGCAGCCAGGATTCCTCCATTGGATTTGGGTTGGAAGAAGAGGGAGCGTCTCTGTCGTCTTGGTTGATTAGCTGGCAGCAAAGGAGCCTGAAAGTTATGCCTCAGAGCATCTTTACACCCCGACTGTTCCAATTTTGCCCTAAGCTCAAAACAATTGGGAAAGACAGTTTCTTAGTCGGGGTAGGGTAGAGTGTGATCCGAGAGCCCCCCCCCTTTCCCGTTCTTTGTGTCTTACTTGTCCATTGGGGCTGTTTCATAGTGCTGGGGCGGGGGAGGCTGCTATCAGCCCTCAGCAGCAAAACCACCTGAAGAAGAGAGGAAAGGCAGAACAAACTGAGCAGAGACTTGGGTCCTGAGTGGGGCCTGGGTCCAGGATCTCCGGAGTCTTGCTCCGTTGGCAATAAAGTATCGTTCCTGGGTGTGGAGCGCCCCCTTGTGGCTACAGAGTCCTCCATATGACGCTCAGGGGCACTGTTGCCAACGGGATCAAGTTGACGAAGTGTGAGGTTTGGGGATAATTGTCTCCTCTTAAATGTAAACTCACTCCCCTACCGCTCCCACACACAGTGGGCACAATTGGATCACACATCTTCTATGGCCTTAGGAGTTTGAAGTGTTAATGCTGGAAGGATTTACATGGGGTTTTAACGAAAGCTATAAGTCCTAGAAAGAGGTTTAGACAGAGACCCATGGATGAGGGAGGGGGCTTCTACTTGTTGCATAGGGCTGGGAGCCAGCATATGATGTCGAGTTTTTAGACAGAAGACTCGAAAGAACACCAGGTATAGTTCTGAAGGGAATGTGGAGCCAGCAGGCGTCACTAGGCACTCAGCCCCGCCGCCTCATCACCACACTAACACACTGTCCTCCTCCCCCCCACCCCCACCCCGCCTTCTCTCCCATTGGCCCAGGAAGTGTGGAGAGTTGCCATGACAACTATGTCCTGTCACCCCTGTAACGTCCCTGTGCTAATATGGGAGGTGGGGGTGGAGAAGCAGCCAGAGAGGGGTTAAAATGGAGCAGTAACAAATAAATAAGCTCTCCCTGGTCTGGTGCTTCACGTCTATAATCCCAGCACTTGGGAAGATGAGACAGGAAGGAGCATTGCCATGAGTTTGAGGCCAGCCTGAACCACGTAGCAAGTGCCAAACAAGACCCGATCTAAAATAAAAAATAAGTCATCCAGCAGTTCTTTCAAAATTTGTGTGTGCCTGTTTTCCTTACCAGAAATCCAGAAGACGTTTGGAGAGAAAGCTCCGCCACGCCCCCCCCCCCCCCCCCGCCTCTGAGAGCTTTGGGGGTGGGTGCAGAGTGCTTCTGATGACCAGGTCAAGGTGTTCTTGTGAGGCCAGCAACCTGCTGCCCCCGTCTGCCAGCCTTGCCCTCTTGCACCGCCCACTCCAATGGGGGCGGAACCGCCTCTCGGCCAGGGACCTTGGGGGCGGAGCTTGGACAAAGCATCTGAGCCCAGCCATGAACCGCTGCCCCCGCAGGTGCCGGAGCCCTTTGGGGCAGGCAGCTCGATCCCTCTACCAGCTGGTGACTGGGTCGCTGTCGCCAGGTACGAGGAAGGGAAGGGAAGGGCAGGACCCCCTCTAAAAATGAGTGGCTCGGGATTGGAACCTTAAAGAGGTGGAGAGAAGGGCTCCTCACAGGGACCGAAGGAACGGGCTCGCACATAACCGGGGTAAGGGCAAGGTATCTGACAGTAGATCAGGGATCACCCACGAAGCAGTAAGATAAGATAAAAGGAAGTAGCACCATGGCTCACAACATTGGAGAGGATAGGGCTGCTCACTGAAAGGTGAAGAGGCTCGAAGGGGCAGGGCTCAGGGATGGGAGGAGGCTTGCCGCTGAGCTGGGGAAAGGCACAGCCTTGTGATTGCATTACTTGGGTTTTGTGGGGTGTCTTACCAGTGTCAAAAAATAAAGGGGAAAAATGAAACTAGAACAGGCTGAGCTCACTAGTGAGTCCATGGCTGACCAGACGGACGGAACTGTGGCAGATTGTCACTGCTTTGTCTCTGGGAGTCTGTGCTAATAGGACTGCGCATTACATACTAAATTGCATGTCTCCAAGGCTGCACCCTGGGACTGAACATCCCTGGGATTGCCAGGGTTATATGCTCTGGAGTTTGGTTTGAGAACCCTGAGTCAGTAAACTGATAGAGGCTTTCATGAAGTTTGTGGGGTTTATGATGTGTGATGAGGGTTTTCATGAAGTTTGCAGAGCTTATGATGTGAGAATTGTGGGTTTCCTTTGGTGCTGTTAAGATTCATGCACTCCTCCACTTGGGTTTCCTTAGGGCTGCCTGGGCCCACAGAACCTGGAATTCTCTCCTTCTCTGGCCTGAAGGAAACAAACAACCTGGCCCCATGGCATTCGGGATCTGTAGTTCTGCCTCCTTACATGAGGTTCCCCTAGAGCCCCTGGAGTATAGTAAGAGCCTGAGGCCATTTTTTTGCCAAGTATCTTCAGGAAGAGAATCGGGGCTGAGTGAGAGCCATGCTTTCAAGTCTCTTGGGGTGCATGTGTCCCCTCAAGCCCCCTACTTGGGCTTGTCTCCAGTGACAGATGGCTAGAGTCATGCAGGGCCAGCTCTCAATCACTGCAGACATGACTTCCAGGACCCAAAATAGCCCCACTGCCTAGGGAGGTCATTAATCACCTGATGGAGCTGGGGGCTGCAGTATCTTTTTGATTATCTGGGGATGGGATGGAGCTGGGGGCTGCAGTATCTTTTTGATTATCTGGGGATGGGATGGAGCTGGGGGCTGCAGTATCTTTTTGATTATCTGGGGATGGGATGGAGCTGGGGGC